TTTTCGACTTCTTGTTAAAAACCGCAAGTGCAAATGCTTTGATATTACATATATAGGTACTACATGTGGACCTCTCTCAGATTTGTTCATTTTAATGATATTTTTAATTCTCTAATTTTGGTGAATATTTTTGTCATTTTTTGGTGAAAAGTGATATTTTCGACTTCTTGTTAAAAACCGCAAGTCCAATTGCTTTGATACTACATATATAGGTACTACATGTGGACCTCTCTCAGATTTGTTTATTTCGTGATGATATCTTCAATTCTCTAATTTTGGTGAATATTTTTGTCATTTTTGGTAAAAAGTGATATTTTTGACTTGTTAAAAACCGCAAGTTTGATTGCTTTGATATTACATATATAGGTACTACATGTGGACCTCTCTCAGATTTGTTCATTTTGTGATGATATCTTCAATTCTCTAATTTTGGTGAATATTTTTGTCATTTTTGGTAAAAAGTGATATTTTCGACTTCTTGTTGAAAACTGTAAGTCCGATTGCTTTGATATTACATATATAGGTACATGTACTACATGTGGACCTCTCTCAGATTTGTTCGTTTTGTGATGATATCTTCAATTCTCTAATTTATTTTGGTGAATATTTTTGTAATTTTTGGTAAAAAGTGATATTTTCGACTTCTTGTTAAAAACTGTAAGTCCGATTGCTTTGATACTATTCATATTGTTCATTTTCTAATGATGTCTTCACTTCTTTAATTGAAATGTGCATTGCTAACAGCGGAGCTATCTCAGCCGATAGGCTGCTTGTTTATTACATTTTTTGATTTTCACTTAATTGTGAAATTCACAAAAATTTTACTTTGAAAAAATACATAAACAGCCAACTTTATTATGCATCTTTTTAGCTCCGCTGTAGACTTTGTCGAGCGGAGCTTATCATATGAGTGATTGTCCGTCCTCTGTCGTCCGTGTCAATGTTTTACTTTTTCGACTTCTTCTTGAAAACTACAAGCCTGAATGCTTTGATACTTGGTGTTTATGTACCTTGGGTAGACCTCTCTCAGATTTGTTCATTTCATAATCATATCTTCAATTCTCTAATTTTGATGAATATTTTTGTCATTTTTGGTAAAAAGTGATATTTTCAACTTCTTGTTAAAAACCGCAAGTCCAATTGCTTTGATATTACTTATATAGGTACTACATGTGGACCTCTCTCAGATTTGTTCTTTTCATGATCATATCTTCAATTCTCTAATTTTGATGAATATTTTTGTCATTTTTGGTAAAAACTGATATTTTCGACTTCTTGTTAAAAACCGCAAGTCCAATTGCTTTGATACTACATATATAGGTACTACATGTGGACCTCTCTCAGATTTGTTCATTTCGTGATGATATCTTCAATTCTCTAATTTTGGTGAATATTTTTGTCATTTTTGGTAAAAACTGATATTTTCGACTTCTTGTTAAAAACCGCAAGTGCAATTGCTTTGATATTACATATATAGGTACTACATGTGGACCTCTCTCAGATTTGTTCATTTTGTAATGATATCTTTAATTCTCTAATTTTGGTGAATATTTTTGGTAAAAAGTGATATTTTCAACTTCTTGTTAAAAACCGCAAGTCCAATTGCTTTGATACATGTATTACATATATGGGTACTACATGTGAACCATTCTCAAATGTGTTCATTTCATGACGATATCTTTAATTTTGATGAATATTTTTGTTATTTTTGGTAAAAAGTGATATTTTCTTCTTGTTAAAAACCACAATCATTTATGGTGAAAAATTATATTTTTGAATTCTTGTTGAAAACAGCAAGTCCCATTGCATTGATACTATGCATATTGTTCATTTTCTAATGATATCTTCTGTTCTTTAATTGTAATGTGCATTACTAACAGCGGAGCTATCTCAGCCGACAGGCTGCTTGTTTTTTTACTTTATCAGTTGATATTTGTAATCATTGATGTTATACTATATGTAATTTACCAGTAAGGGGTTACAATAAATGTAATCATGTGGATAGAATAGTCTGTCTGTTGTGACAGATTGTGATCTTTGTACAATGTACCACATGTTGCATGTATTCAATACTGTAGATGTATAGCCTCTATATATTCAATGTAATAACTTCAGCAATTAGTCCTCTTGAACTTTATCAAAAGTTTCCTAAACCCAGGGTCTATTTTGTTAACCAAAAATATGGTAATTTTAACCCTTTTAAACATAAATGTTGATTGACCCTTTGTCACTGAAAGTAAACCTGAATTATTGTTTTTTGAAATCTGGATCAAAAACTGTAGATAAAGGAATGATGAAATTATAAGACAAAATATAACAAATGTTTGAACTAAAATTTTGGTTGGAAAAATGATGACATGATGAACATCTCTCTATGAGGCACTTGTGTACATTGTTAGCATTTCTAGAAATATTACAAGTCATCTATCATCTCTGACCTTATCATGATATCATAGTGGAATATTTTAACTTAAAAAGCCAACTTAAGTCACCATGAAAAAAATTTAATCAATTTAAATTCAATTGAATAAATTTTCTATTTTTTTTAAATGTTGATTAAACCTGTAAGCAATGTAAAATGATGTCCATGTTATCCAAAATTAAGAAATTTTAGAAAATTTACATAAAAATGTGGCAAAAAATTATGGCATTCAAAAGGTTAGACTAATTATTTATAAATTTAAATTCCTATCATTTATTGATTTATTATTTGTGTTAATTCTTCATTTGAAAATGCAATTTTATCTGCATTCCAAAATAGCCTAAGATTAAATGCAAGAACACAACCGCTTTCAATCAACAAAATAGACAATGTACTTTGATTTATACTTATTCAAATATTCTGTACGCCTAATTTATTACTATTATACTATCAGTTTTGTGACAAGTTGCTAAAATAATGGCATTTGTCAAATCTGATTTACGTTGGCTTCATATACATGTGTATGTACACATATTCCTTGTTGGTTCCCATTTGAATGATGCTCAAAAACAGGCACTTCTGGATTGACCTTCATGTGTGCGTATGAGCGTCCATCTGTCAGTCGGCCCATAACGACCTGTATCTCGAACGTGCCTTGAAAGATTTCATTCAAACTACACACACATCATATATCTTGAGTTGTGTACATATGCACATTCATTTTTTGGCAGAATTAAATTTAATGTTTAGAAATTTATCAAAATCAAGTTTTTCTGCTATTACAGCACCAGATCTCAGCCATGTATAGATAGAATTTGTTCAAACTTGATACTTGACATTATGATATCTCAAATCATTAAAATCAAACATTTCTGTAATTCTGGAGCCAGAGCCAGATCTTGGTTGTATATGGATACAGCTATTGTGCTTCTTGGTGTATACATTGAACATTTATAGAACCAGATCTGATTAAATATGTTGTTTTAAAACCATGTCTCTGACATACATTGACTGATCACATGTTTACTATGAACCAACAGGGACTTTGTTATGAAATGAAATGACTTGTTATTTGTGCCCCACCACTGGAGTACTACTAGTACTGAGTTACTTTATAATACATGGTACTGGAATAACTGAATCAATCCAACCACTAGACATGTACTTTGATTTATACTCATTTCAATGTACTGCATACCAAATTGATTACTATATTAGAATACAATTAAATTTGTGACAAGTAATGGCATTTTAAATTTGATTTATATTAATTTGAAATATTTACATATACTCAATGTTATTTGTAGTTCACACAGTACCACTGGAGTTTCAATATAATATGTTGAACTCTGAAAACTTAATTAATCAGTTTGACCACTGAATTATTTGAGCCACTTGTCAATACTGTAAAAAAAAACTGTTAAATTTTGACTGCTATAGCCTCTAAGTTTGTTATTTTTATGAAATATTAAACTGCATGTAGTCCAACCAAATTTGGATACCACACATTATATAAACCAAAAATCACATTTGTTGTATATTGTGCATCATAAAATGTTTTGACCGTAGAAACACGTCTGAAGTTAACGTCTGCACTACTATAATAGACCAAATAGAAACTTGTCATTGATAAAAAGCAGCATCTACCAATATTTGAAACTACATGTGTGGCAGCATTTGAAAAGTGCCATGTTTTGATAAACCCTTTTATTGAGCTGATCCCTCTATCTTATTAGACACGTGCTATACAATACAGTGGTCACAAAAAATCCTTTTTATGAATCTGTTGAGAAAAAAATGATATAATAAGGAACAAGATTGTGATCGTTAGTCATTTTTAACGATTCGTTAGAATTTTGTTTGATTTTTTTTGAGGATATTAAAGAAAAATAATGTTTTGTTGTGTGGATATTTTTGAATTAATATTATTTTTCCTGTAGAACTTGTTTTTTTGTTTTTCTCTGTTCTCATCTAGAGTTCCTGGTGATATATACATGTATTCCTTACATTAGTGTAATGAATATGTACATTGTATGTATAATAGTAAGGTTTTTTTTGCACTAATATCATAAAGTACATTCATTTGTATGCTGCCTCGTTAAAGTACTGTGGTCACATGTACATCAATCTTTGTATAGACAAACTAGGGTGATCATACATTTAGTGCCAGTTTCCTAGTGTTAAGATTTTTTTTTAATTTCTCAAGAAATGTTTGCATGTCATTGAACAATTGTGAAATTCTGTAGCATTGACATTTTTCTGGGCTCCTACGAGTATCAGTAAATTTTGCAAAATGTTGTTTTAATCAATGTCACAAAATTGTTAAAATGCAAAATGATATGGTTAACTGTCAAAGTAAATTCAAATACCAACCAATGGGTGTTTGCATAATGATGTCAGTTTTATAATTCAAATTGTGAATGTTCTAAAAAAGTTTGTTTATGACTATTATATTGTTGTCTTTTGTAGAGATATATATACTCTAAATGAAATAATCACATGGAGGGACACAATAAAGGAGTGGATCAAGAAACAACAGCTTGCAAACACCCACGTTGCTGCAGACACGGAAGATATGGATGTAACGCTACTTACTAATGGCAGAGATGCAGATGTACAAATGATTTCCCAGGAAATGGATGCTGTGCCAGATGATGAAGTTGCTATGGCAACCACAGAGGACTGCAACGGTAATGAATCGGGGGCATTTGGGGAAGCAGTTGCCATGGCTGTGGATGTGAACTCAGATGTACAGCTTGAAAGTGGGGAAAAAGTTGCTTCAATGGAGGTTGGATTTCAAGAGACAGAAGAGAGATTTGTGAATGGCAAGGTTGCCACAGAGATCATTGTACCAGCAGAGTACCTAGAGGCTAATATGCCAGAAGCAACGTGTGATCTTGCCAGGGATTTACTAAGAATGTTTGTGAAGCAGAAAGCCACTGATATAGGTCTAAGAGTACAGGGTAGGCTGATTAAAGCACACAGGTAATAATGTCTGTTTGCATTCCATTGCATGTTATTTGGGTCAAACGTCTGATAAGTTGTGTTTATGTAATGTCTAATGTTTGCTTATCAAATGCGTATACTAATAATTGCAACTCAATAAACATTAGACGCCATAATGGCAGCTGCTTTAGCCTTTTTATCATCAGATTTTTCTGGAAGGAAACTCCAATTTTGGAGCCAAGAGACAAAATTTGAGTAAATTTTCAGGTTTTGCTCAAAAAATTTAGTTATTTTCTTCCAAATCTTCTGAAGGCAAGTGCAGACAATAAACAGAACTATTTTGTGATTTGTGATTAAAAAAGTGAACTGGTGATGAAAAGATTAAAAGTCATTTTGGGCTTTATTTACTAAATGCTCACTTGTGAATTCACCTTATTCACCAGAACCTGAAACATACATTTGTAATTTACCATGAGACTAACTGAAAATATAGGTTCTGGTGAGGGCACAGAAATAGTTTGTTGAATTTGTTTAGCCCGCAGCTAGGGCATGCAATGTTCATCCAGTTTAAATCATATACATGTACATGGTTACTAAAACGCATTTCCACTACGATTCTTGTATGAATAGCTTCATTGTTCAGCATGGCTTTGTCCTGTACTTTGATGTGGGAATATTTACTGGTACTGCAGGGTGCAGAATATTATATTAAAAGTTATGATGTGGAGAAAACAGTGTCAATGAAAAAAAAAAAAAAGGAAATAAAAATATTCAGATCCACTTTTTTTTTTTTATTCCAACATTGTCATTCAAATTGTGCCTTTAAATTTTCTTCATTTTTCCAGCCATCAGTAATGTGAATATGAACTTACCTATAGGGGGGGGGGGGGGGGGTACTGTGTTGCAGGTACCAAAAATACTCACAGATCAGAGACTGAAATAGGAAACATTTTATTTGTTGACCTGTTAATATGAACGAAAATAACCCAACCATCAGTATTACAATATCTATCAGTGTTTTGCCAATAAAGTAGCAATACTGATATCAGTTTACCATTACAAACTGTCACATTTGAATTAACATTATAGCTATTTTGTTTGCAAAACTATATTACAATAGTACTGGTTGGGTTGTTTTTTTTTTGCTTACAGTGATAAAACAATTAAAAATAACATGTCTAGTCAGTGATTTAAGTGATGTATATTTCAATCTATAGGTTTGTTCTATGCTGTAGATCAGTTTATTTTACTGCCATGCTGTGTGGTGGCTGGGCTGAAAGCACCGCTGAAGAAATTTACCTTCATGAGTAAGTATTCAAATGTTTTGAATGCCAACTTTTGTCATCTTTCACAAAATTAACCTGCATAACTTTTCAAAAAATATGTTCAACAAGACATTTAACCAATAGGAAAATTTACATGTTTTATACAAATTATGGCATTTGAGATAATTCAAGCCATGTACACCATTATGAATCAATAATTGTCATGCTCATTTAGCATTAAACACCCATATTTTTTAGCCACAGTATTGGCCATTTTCAACAGTTTTCTATACTTTTGCACTCAATATTGATTTATTTTTTAACATTGTTACTAGTAATTATTATTCAAAAAAAGTTGTGGGCCTCAAATCTATGTGCCATGTCTGCAATAGGTTGTTGTATTTCACAGCCATTTGTTGTAGTCTTATCCATTGTTATATAGCGCCCTCTACATTGAATTGTAAATATTTTGTCCTGTCTCATTCCTTGTTTACTGTAAAACCATTTAATTTCACTATTTTGATGTTTTGAGCATATTCACTGTGTTTGGAACCATTAGTTTTATTGTTATTTTACGCAGATTTATAAACCAGTGAATATTCAATGGCTTAACTCTCTTCTGACAGCACTCTGTCTATTCTAACACCGCAGTAGTATAGTCATTGTATTACCGGTACATATCTTATTATATTTGTATCCTCTTTTGTTTTTACCATTAGTGTAAGTTGTTCAACAGCACTGGCTGCCTTGTACTATGTTTATGGTGGTGTTATGGAACATCCAAATGATGCAAATATAGGGTAAGTCTCAATAATTATTCTATAATCAAAGATGGTAACACCTAATTAAGTACATTGTATACATTCATTCTTTTACGGCCCACCAACAGAAGAACTGTCACACAACTTGATTGTCCCATCGAATTGTCCCATCGAATTGTTCCGATGCAGAATCCATCTTAAAAACACTCTTGTATCCTACTTAGTGTTTTTTGTTCGGAGGCAGTAAGTCCAAATTTTACAATTTGGATGATGACAGAACTCTCACGTCCAATATGAATAGTTATTGTATATTACATATACCTTTGTTATCATGTGATTTTTCAAATTGAATTTCAGTTTGAAATCTAGTCCTGTGTTTGAGATTCAATCAAAATAATATAAACGATAGACAAGTTTTTAGTTCTACACTTACCTTTACCTCAGAAACTTGAGCACTCTGGTGTAAAAACAGTCCAATTTTGTCTGCCACGTTAATGTTCAATAGCTCATGAGAGCGCAGAGAATCAGGGAAACCAGTAAACAAATTATGCAAGCACAGAAACAGACTGATGGTGCTATAACTATAAAGAAGACTGCAAAGTATGTACTCAAGACTGTACTGTAAAATACGTTGAAATAGCTATATGCTATTATAGTGAATTTAACTCAGTGAATGAATTAACAGAATCTTAGCTAAAATATCAAGTGCTTGTTTCCAGGATAGGATAGGATAGGATAATTAATGGCTCAAGCACAAAAAACAAATCAAATTAGCAAGATTGTTTCCGTGGTGACAGCATTCTTACTAATTATCAGTCCATTTTGAATAAATGTTCAACATGTATTTAATTATTTTGACCATAAAAAATAAAACTAGATTCAAGACAGGCTTTTTGCCAGACACTGCCTGCCATTATAGACAGGCACTCCACATTTTACATGGGTATAACATTTTTTTTTCTCCAGGTTTTCATGCACGATGACAAGAAGTAAACTTTGGTTTTTTTGGCCTTGTTGTCAAAAATATATATTTAAAAAAAATTCAATAACAAAAATCTATACATTAATAAATCACATATAGAAAACATGATTTGAAAAATTGTTTCCTAACAGGAGTATCTTATTATATTTATGTGAAATGATTGTACTGTCACCACCATATACTAGGCATCATGGTACATTGACTCTTATTTCACAATCAAAGTGTTCAATGTGAAATTTTCCAGTTCCACATTATTATGTTCTTGAGCAATGCACTTTACTCCTTCACATAGTAAATGTGTATCTGAAGAAGTAGTGATTACAATGTGTGTGTTCAGGCTTATGTTCTCTAGGGAGTTATGAATGGTTTATAAATTAGTTCATATGGTCCAATGACAAATAATCTATAGCGTGTATGAGCAGTTCATTGCATATACTTTAAAACCATTTATTTTCACCGACATTTAATAATTCTGAGCATATTCACTGTTTTAATTTCAATAATTTGTCAAGGAAACAACAAGTTTTATTTATTTTACATGTTGATGTAGATTTAATTTAGCGGATTTTAGTTACGGTATCAGTGAAAATAACGAAATTAAAACCCAGTGAATAATTAATGCATTTACAGTATGCAGCTATATAAATGTGTATGTATTATTTTTATTGCCTTGCGTGCAATAAAATAGAAGAGATGGTATTCAGAAAAAAAATCCATCCATCATGTCCGGAAAACAATTTTATTTTTGTAATAACTGAAAAACTGTGTAAATACCTCAATATCATTATTATGGCATCTCCTATAATGAATCAAAGGGAAGATATATAATTGTTGAATAATTTCTGTCCATGTTGTCAGTGTTTTCGTCATTAACAATTCTTACGGTGCTATTTGATTGTTTTCAAACTTGTAATGAATGCATGATGATACTTTATTTCCAGGATACCTAATGTTACTTCTAGCTGGTCTCTACCAGTTTTCAGGTTTGTAAACATTTGTACCGCTGATTAATGCCAACTATCCCATCAAACGTCTTTCACAATTAGCCACAGTGGGTAGTTTGCTTTCACAACTTTCTTCCAGTCATCAAAGTTTCCTGTCTTTGTGCCTTACTAGTTTCCTGTAGCAAGAACTCGTCTTATGTTTGCTTGGTTGGTTAACTCCATCTTCACTTCACATGTTTGAAAATTTTGCACACTGCACGGACAAAGGTTTTTTTAAATAAAACAATAAATTGCGTCTGGTCTAAATGTTTTAGCACTCTATTTTGACAAGCTTTATAAATATTGAATGATCTGCTGAAAATTAACAAATGGTTTACACCTTCTTGAAAATAATAAAAAAAAAAAAAAAATCTGAACCACATCTGTGAAGGCAACTTCAAATATGGTTATTAACATACCTTTATGGAATATAACTTTTTTGGATCACTGATTACTTCTTTTAAGTTTTCAAAAAAATTGATCTCTGATGAAACTGACAGCTTAAGCATTATTTGCAAAACAAAACAAATATATGCTTAGCTAACTGTATTAGCAGTTACTCTGACCAATCAATACAGTTCAGTGAGGCAAAATTTTCAACTTTCTCTGGTAAAAATTTCATCTGGTAACAAATGTAATATGTATGCTGTAGGATTTCATATGGTGTCCATGCAGTAAATTTGCAAGACAATAATGGGTTTTCCTTTAATTTCCTATCTCAACTCAACAGTTTGTAATGTTCTGTTATTATCTGAGATGAATACAGAAACAGAATCTTACTTACCGGGGTATATGCATGTGTATTGCCTGCAAATCCTTGATTTTTCTACTTTTGAACAGTTAACATGCATTGCACTCAGAAACCAGAACATTACAAACAACAATGTGCTGAGATTAGATGACTTCTATGCTAGGACACTACTTTATTCTCTTTTCATTTTGATGATACCAATTTATTGTCTTTATATAAATATAGGTGACATTCAAATGAAGTTAATGTGGAAGCTATTGATGCTGTTTAAATACCCCCATATATAAATCCAATATTTAGACCTGTTCTTATTGTTGGTTTAATTAATAAAACATGGATGACTTAAAGTGTATACAGTATTAGCTCTATTAGAAGCACATCTCCAATAGAATGTGATGCCATTTATTGTGTACTGGAATATTAAAATACAATTATAATAGACAAACCTCTGTCAAAGCAAATATGGTATTTGTTGTTGATCATTTTGTTTCAAACTTGTCTGGAATTATTTCTCATTTGTCAATATCTTTATGAATTCTGTAAAGAAAATGTGTAGCAAATCAATTTAATGTACCCAAGACAGTAAATAAAACTTTCTTGTATTAAAAAAAAGTACATTTACATCCAAAATATAATGTCTTGGTGTGGTTTCTGGCAACAAACTACAAGACCAAGAGAGATAGTCACTTGACACTTGACTTTTAAATATAGTTCCTGATGCCAATATATTATTTAGTGACATTTAGGTACACATGCACTTTTCTTTTTTTTTCCAAATTTTGAAATTTTGTCGAGTGGTGTGCAAGATTTGTGTTCATAAACATTGATTTTCTCACAATCCAAGTGGCGAGCATGAATGCAAGTTTTGATCTGAATTTGATATGGACTAAATACCGACTTTGACTCTATGAAACGTTCACTGATGTGTTCAAATCATCCCATAAATTTACCTAGTGAAAGTGACAATAGCTGTAATTATCAATCTTTTTTCTTAGAAATTTTTATTTTTAATAAAATATTTCCTGTGTCATTTATAGTGTCAATTTGTAACGGCCATCGCCAAAACGCTATATACCAATGTTGTTACAATAAATCACTTAAAAGTGAAAAAAAATGTTCGCATCTAGGTCTCCAGAAGTCACCAGTTTTGTCATGCAAACCTCTGGGTTACGGTGCAAGATAACAACTTATCAAGGGCCCTGGGTGAAATGTCAAATGTGTCACCATCTAGAGGGGCTAGCCTCTCTCTGACAGCCTCTCACTGATGATACGTATCATTTGTGCATCATGAATCACATTTGTAATGCCCCACCCCATGACATGATGAAATGGTAACTACTAGACCCTAAGTTTTCATATCACATTTCACGTGACATTAATTTTGTTTAGGGTCACTCTGCCTATGCAGTTGTGCCCAAAATTCTGTTAAGATTTGGTTATTTTTATGTGGTTGTATTTAAACAAAAAAATGTACAAAATCTAAGCTATTGTCACTTTAAATCATGATAACATCACTGTTTGTACTCTTTAATATGCTAAACATTCAAAATCGTATCTCGTGCATACCGGTACATGGTACAAAAGTGTACAACAAGCACCACTCTTTAGTAGTATTAAAAATAATATTTCTTTGCTTGCTGTTCATAGAATTTATAGTTTAGCTACTGGGAAAGATTTTTTTCAACATCTTTGCAATGTTTACAGAGTCTAACTTCTGTTATTGCTTTAGGACATGTGTGTGGTGCCTTCTCAGTGGAAAATTTATGTTCTTTTGATCTGTTGTCTGTTATTAAAAAATGTTCTACACTCTGCAATTTAAATACATGTCCAATGTATGTTGTCCCCGTTATTGAGGGACTGTGCTTAAACAAGCTGGAATATTAGGTTAATATAGTAGGATACAAGTTGCTTCTTCTTCCCTCACAGATTGCAAATCAACAAGTGCGAAGACAATATTTCTTTGAAGTGTTGCTATGTGTATTTTTCTGATAAAACTCTTCTAGTTTCTCCTTTATAGTCACATGGTCTAAAGTGATACATGCTGTAATTGATCATGAAATGCATACTGGTATCATGTATATTAAATTCTCATTAATAGTTCGAACAAAAAAACTTTTTACTCTAATGTGGGCTTTGGTTCACATGCAGCTATAATCTTTTTTACTTGTAATGGGCTTAATTCATAAACAGTAAATATTGAAAAATATTGTGCGTTAAAATTTTAACTGAATACTGTGCGATTCATCATGCTTTATTGACAATTATCATTTTTTTTTTTGCTGCAATTTCAAATTTGTGATTATAGTATTAAATATAATTATTTTGTTGTTTTTTTACAAACACCAGCTTTACCATCTACTCCTGAAAATGATTTCTTTTATTAAGAAGGCAGGGATGAAAGCTGATTGTTAACATATAACATGAAAAGAGAAAAAACTTTATGATCATCTTCATACCTAATATAAAATGATAAAAGCTAGTTGACAAATTTTAATGTGAACTGATCAGAGAAACAACCCATTGGTAGACAGTTTGCATCCCACCTCCATCCCAAACCCACCGTCGTCTGAAATGCTGGGTTTCGAAACCCCCAATTCTGTGTGTTTGATGGTCCTGGCAGAATATATACTCAAATACAATACAATATTGTACCACAGTCAGCTTCCCTTGACACTCTTTATTTTGATACAAGTTCAGAATATCTGCATATCTGACCTTATACATCCTACTTAGAATTACAATATTTCATTGAATCAGCTGTGCATCCCCACTGTCTGAATGGATTTTTGTAGTGCTTGGTAAAGCAGTGTTTAGAATGTAGACTAGTGTGTGTATACAGTAGATGAATTGACTCAGTAATGACTTATTTGTTATATTTTATAGTGAATTAGTTCAGATGTCAGATATGTATGGTTTGGACGGATTAAAAGATAATGCTGCATTTATTCTTAGAAGGGATAAATGCCACTTTTTTCACAAGGTATGTCTTTATATGCCCGTTAGTCACTATTGATAAAAAGTTCAAGTTAGACTAAATTTAGAAACTGACACTGTGTCTCGCTGTTTGATGAAACTTGATATAATTTTTATTATAACGATGAAAATTCTCATCAATTTGTGGTCGAGATTTAAAATTCTCAGTTTTATTTGCAAGAATTTGAATTCTTAGCAATTCACTGATGAAAATTTGTTGAAAAAATGGTGAGCGTTTAAAATTCTTGCCAGCGAATTTGTGAGAATTTAGATTCTTAATGGTTGGAATTTTGACTACCACCAATATTCTCACCATATTTGTGAGAGTAATATTAAAAAAACTCTTGTCTCACTTTATTTACCAATTTCCACTTTAAGCTGTTGTGGACGATAATCAAGCCCCCCCCCCCCTATTATATTGCTCGCCTCTATACCACATTACACATCAGCAACTGGTACATTGGGGAAGTCAATTCTATGCATTGCCGATTGAGGTTGGGAGAATTAGAAATGATGAATTAAATCAATCAATCATCATGATCACCCTTTTGTTTATTCATACATACAGTACATGCACAATATGTATCTTGAACATTTTAAAACTCAATACAAAAAAAACGAACTGTATTTTGTTAGGCCTATACTTGTTAAAGTATGATATAATAATTGTATTATAAGTATAATAATTGGTTTAGTTTTTTCTTCTTCTGTCAATCGAAAACATTTATTGCTTGTATTATGTCTTTAAAACCAGTATGAGCTCTTTTGGTGTAAATACCAAAGCACAGTGAAAATATTCATTTTATGGGATACTAGGCCAGTCAAACACGTTTGATAAACTCACCTATGTGCACAGAGAGTTGCACTGAGATATTACTACTAAGTAATTTGATTACCATATTGTTTCTTTCAGCCATGTAATATTTGTATAACAGGGGTACCAGAATGTCTGGCATTAAGCACAGCTTATGGATTACATGTCATATCAGAAAACTGCCTTAGGTAAGATAACACATCTTTTTATCCAATGCAGATTTGTATATATCGTACATCATGCATTTATCAAGACTCTGCTGATTTGTAAAATGATTAATCTTCTCAACAGTGCTGCGAGTTTTTTACATAGTATATGCTGTGCTTCTGTGCCAAGTCTTGTGGTATATACCAGACATACTGTGTTGTACTCTGTATGTACTGCCCTCTAGTGGAGCATGGAACTTATCATATGAGTGATTGTTCGTTGTCTGTCGTCGTCCGTGTCAACTTTTTACTTCTTGAAAACTACAATAATTACATGTGTATTATTATTGTTATTGCTCTGATACTTGGTGTATATGTACCTTAATTGGGCAGACCTCTCTCAGATTTGTTCATTTCGTTATGATATCTTCAAATCTCTAATTTTGATGATTATTTTTGGTAATAAGTGATATTTTTGACTTCTTGTTAAAAACCACAAGTCTGATTGCTTTGATGTTATACATGTAGGTACCTCAGATAGACCTCTTTCAGATTTGTTCATTTTCTAATGATATCTTCAGTTCTTTAATTGAAATGTGCATTGCAGAGGAGCTGTCTCAGCCGAAAGGCTGCTTGTTTTCTTCATTTTCTAACAATAGACTATAAGCAAGCCATTGGACTCTTTGATTTGCTTTTAATCATTTGACATGATTGAGATGCGTCATGAGAGTTCCACATTATATATATGGTTGTATTTATTGAAGTAGTAATAGCTGCATAATTTTTCCTTAAATTATCTTAAAATAATTTTTGTGTATCATATTGAATTTATTTGTAAAATATAGGAAAAAAGATATATTCGATGGATTTTATTTTCACTGAATTAACCCTTCATCAAAAATAGCGAAAATAGATTCCAAGCGAAAATTAAGTTTTTTAAGCATACACAATTCCCTCCACGCAAGTGAACACTTTCATCATACATGTAAAGTGTAACATTATGACATGTTTTTTTTATATCTACAGGTGGATTACCAAGCATTTGGATAAAGTTTGGAGTACAAAAACATTTGCAGTTCAATCTGAGGAGGTTTTACAGCATAGTTTTGGATATGCTACAAGTAGCCTAGTAAGCATATAATAATAAAAATCTGATCCCAGATTTAGTACTGAATGGATGTGCCCTGCCAAACCAATCCACATTGTCAAATACATGGGTACTATTACTCATTATTTGATTACCATAAAATCTGTTTTAGAAGCCGCATCCCTGATAGATGTCGTACCCATTCTTTTTGAAAAATTGAGAACCAAAAATTCATCATTTCTCATGTGGTACCATTTTAATAGTAGCCGCGGTTCCTAATACAGATTTTACAGTACCTGTGTTAGCCTAGTGCCCAACCCTGGCTATAGGCCCACAGAGTGTTGTTTCTTATAACCAGCTTAGCATTATGGGTAAATTAAACCATAATCTCAAACCATAACTTGGATTCTAACATCATATTGTCTGTAGGTATGTTTTCCAGAAATAATGAAGATATACAAAAATGTATAAGAAAAACGTTCAGGAAGAATTTTGGCGAGAAAGTCTGGTGGTGAAATTTACTATTTAGTACTGATACCTGGAGTGTGTTTAAGGGGAAATGTTAATAAGTGCCCCTAGAGTTATTTTGGGGCGTGCTTGTTACATAGCATTCATTGAGTTGCCAGTGTTACAAAATGGTGAAAGGATTTGAAAAATGTTCTGTGGCTTTTTGTGCTACTTGAATGTACCCCTGGCCACTGTTATATTTGCATGGGTCATCAGTATATTTAAAGAATTCATAATTATACAGTACATGTACATACATATTCAGTTGCTATAAGCAAAAACAAATTTTCATAACTCAAAGAAAACCACATGTTATCATAGTGAACATTTCATTGGGATCTTTAAAAGCATTTCGACTTCATATTATATTCAGAACACCTCCTACTGATTACTGTGATCAACGTGACAAATTGTCAGTTTGGCAACTTGACAGATAAAAAGGTTATGATGTCTATAGTCAAACATATGAGGTTATTACGAGAATACTTCTAAGTATGTACAAAGACAGTACAGCTGGAGTATCGACCGACGTGCTGCGGAGGTTGATGCACGGCATACTGTCTGAGTGCATACTTTGAGGTATTCTTGTAATAACCTTATTATTATACATCTTTTCCTTCCAAGAATACATCATGGGAACAGAATCAGCGAACGTCTTTGTGTGGAGTCCGGTCAAACCATATTTGTTTTTATTATTAGAGAACGCTTACATGTGTAATCATTCCATATTTGAAATTCGCAATATTACGGCACGCTGTAACATATGGCGTTACGGTGACAGATGTATAATAATATTTATTGTCAACACTGTACAAAAATCAGAAACCCTTAAGATGCTTACAGTGGTCAGTTGAAGTTTTCTGCAAATCAATGTAATTGGAAAATGCAACTTTAAAACACCAAGTTACTTTTATGAATCCAATCCATGAAAATCGTTAGTTTGCCAATGGCAAGGTTGCAATATTTGCTATGTTTTCTTGTTTTTTATTTTCTTTAGATGTACCTAACAAAACAAGATATAATTGTTTACATCTTGGCTGTCATTTGCAGTGAATTGTACTGTTTGTATCTTTCAGGGATTGGATAATGCAGTTGCCATGGCAATGCAGTGTGATAAGCTTCTAACCAGTCTTCCACATGTGAAATGGGTGGAACCTGTTCGTTGCTTAGCAACTAACTTGCACACAACATGCCTGGATTATTTAGTGAAGAATTTTTGGGAGGTCGTAGACCATCCCACCTTTGCTATACTCTTGTCCGTAAGTCAGAAATTCAGTCAATGGTGGTACATGGGAAACTGAGCCCCTACAGTTGATCATGTGACTGCAAATTACAACATAGTTTCTATTATATCATTCACAACTTCACTTGGTAAAATGGTGTTGTTTTTTGCAATATCAGAGGCCTGTTTTGTGTGACCTTCTTCTTGTAGAGCCTGTACAAGTAGAACAGCAATTTTAATTGGAACTAACTGCATTGAATAAGAACAAACGCAACAGGAGCTCTCTAGAGCCGTGTCCTATAATGTCTATTGATAAGCATTTTGGCTAAATTGGTTAAAGGACCACAATTGTGGCAATGATGTAGTTAAGTATGGGTCCCATTCTATGTATATATGAGTGACCTAAATAATGGTTGTCATGGCAGCTAATATACTTATACATTCTAGGCATCATCTTGGAGCCATGGTTTGATAGAAGATCTGTTTAATACTATAGTACAGAATCTGACAGTTGACAATGGGTGTCGCATGTTTGTAGCTGCTAATAGGCTCAAAGGTCAATCTAAATTTCAAGACTGGAATCAGGTAGGATTTCATGCAATACGGATTATACGAATATTTATTTATAGTTAGTGTCGTCTTGCAAGTTATTGCAACCAGGTGTGAGTGAAGAATCCTGGTACAAAGTAATTTTACACTTAAAACTTTCCATACTTTGGTTACTTTCACTGTACTAATTATATTTCTATTACTGTGAGAGCATTAATTTTTATATGTATTTAATTTCACTATTTTGAGCATATTCACAAATTTTACAGTGAAACAATGCATTCTATTATAATTGAACCATGTTTACATGGATTTAGTTTAATGGATTTCACTTGAAACGGTGAAAATAACAAAATTTCAACCCCGGTAAATAATTGGTAAATTTACGGTATTCTCTTCATGGTATTCTCCCTATTACCAAAGTATGGTCCGGATTCTGTATGCTTATTTGGTTAGATCTGTCATTACCTTTTTACAATTGTGAATTGCGCCCTCTAGTACTGACTTAATAAAGTATTGTTTTACAATTACCAATCATCTTGTCATTTTAATGTCATTTGGGATTATCAAGAATTTGACATTATTTGAGCAATCACATGCTGATTTGGTAACTGTCATAAGCTATATTTGCTTTAACTAGAAGCTTTTCCAATAGAAGTGCATATACATGTGTAAACCTAAAATACATTTGGTGTTGTATGCATTTGTTTGCTGAATCATCAGAAATATTTTGACCATAGAAAGCAAATAGAGCAAATACAGTATTGCGAATATTGGTGCCATGCTTCTGTTGCTTTAGCCAACTTGTTATAGTGCACTCCACCATGTGATATCATGGTTTAACCCCTCATCCTTCCAGCCTGATGTACTTTTACATTGACTTAACCAGATAAGGGATATATACCTACATATAATTGGTGGAACAAAATCACTAATCAACTGAATTTTATTGTCCTCCAAAATAGTTAATCCACCAATGTAATATTGCGCAGCGTGCAATCATCTATAATTTCACCGAAAAAAAATTCCTTGGTCCATATTCATACATATTCATGTACACCAAAGTTCACTGCTATGACCTAATGAAAACTTGATGGATTAATTAATAACTGGGTTGCAGGTAACTGACATGTATTTAGATTTTTGAATTACAAAAAACAACCACAAGTCTGATTACTTTTATACATGATATATAAGTACCTTGGGTAGACCTCTCTTAAAGTTGTTCATTTTGTAATGATATCTTAATTCTATAATTTAGATGAATATTTTTGTCACTTGTGACAAAAAGTGATATTTTCGGCTTCTTGTTCAAAACAGCAAGTCTGATTGCTTTGTAAATAAACATATGGACTGATCTAAGATTTGTTCATTTTGTGATGATATCTTCAATTCACTAATTGAAATGTGTATTGCTAACAGCAGAGCTATCTCAGCTGAGCGGCTGTTTGTTAATTTTTTTATGAAAAATAAAAAAAATGAATCTCTTGTAATACTGTATTACAAGAGATAGCAGAATGAAGAATTCAAGAATTTCACAGATTTTGATGATAATGTTTTATTTCAGGATATATTGAATCTGGTGAATAGTTTACATGATGGTACCAGGGCTTACATGGTGAATAATGTCAACTTTTTGCTACACACCAAAGACTGGCAACTGATACCGGAATCACTGCAGAATAACATAAAACAAGGTAATATTGTTTTATTTAGTCTTTTATGAATAAGTATTGCCACAAGATGCTGGAATCTTTACATTTAATAGATCATGTACAGATCATGTAATCTAGAAGATGAATTAGAATTATTTTTTTTCGTGTGTATTTGGACCACTAGAGTGGAGTTATAGTAGTGATTGTAGAATTAAAGATAATTCTATGCATGCTTGTCTCCCTGTCACACAGTCACACATAGTCTGAACTAAGTGATATATAAGTCATCTCAGACCATTTAATAAATATATATTAAATATAGTATAAGTAAAATACTGCTAGAAATACATTTTATACTAAAGTCACCATTTGTGAATATTAGTCTTCACCAGCAATATTATATTATATTAGTCCAGCTGTACCTCCTATAAAATTAATGGTTTCATCTTTGAAAAATCGTACCAACACCCAACATATTTTAAACAAGTTTCCCCCATTTTCTGAGGAAAAAATAAGTCTGTATTGCTTGATGATTAGGTATGAGTTACTACTGGTACTTTGATGGTTATGTAGGTTACAGTATATACATCTAACCACAGTAATTTTAGAATGTTTGGGCCAATTCAAGACACCTGTGGTACAATCTGACTATGATTTGATATATATAATTGATGATAACATCAGCTGATAATTTGTCATTATTTTTGTTTCAGATGCATTATTCGTTGATGATACTAAGAAGAGTACCATCCCTAAACCAACATTATCAAGTTCACTAATGGTATGATATGTTGACATTTTTAAAGTGTCTGTCTTTGTTTAAATTCATTGTACACAAATAATGTATTTTCAATCTTTTACACATATAATGACGAACACGGTGGTGTGATGACACATTATGATGAGCAGTGAGGCACGTTGAATAATCAGATACAAAATGCTCCATGTAAAATGTGTCAACTGCATTGTGGGAAGGATACTTCCATCAGCAGATTTTATCAATTGTTGTAACAGTATACAAGTATTCAAAACAACAATGCCTCTATTCCTGACTGCTCCAACCTTGTATGATTCAAAGTCAGACTTGTTTCTTTTTCTAACTACACAGGGTCCTGGTAGAACTGGTATACCAGGTATAAAAAGACCCAGTAGATTACCAACCACATTACGAAGTATAAAGGATAAGACAAGTAAAATCACAATAGCAGATAGGCCTAAAACTGCACCACCAGCTGTGAGGGAGTCTAGGCCTCAGAGCCCTGCTGTTGATAAGAGAACTAAGGAAAAGCGGAACCTTCAACAACCTCGACCATCTGCTTCAAGTAAGGTTGAAACAAAGCAAGACAAGAAGAGTACAGCAATGGAGACACGGTCTCTAACTAGACAGGCCTCAAGGCCCTCTAGTTTGCCGACAAAAACAATGACAGTTAAACCTATTGAGGAAAAAACAAAACAGACTACACAAACAGCAAGGCAGCAAAGTCGGAGACCTGCCAGTGCGAGTCCAACAGTTCAAAGGTCACAAAGAACCACAACCACTGCCATTAGAAGTCCATTGAGCCCTCATATGCAGAGGACAACAAGAGATGCTTTCAAGACTCCACTCACACTTCCGGTACAGAAATCAGCTCGCCCATCACCAGTTGTAAAAAGTCCCATGCTAAGCCCAACAGAACCATTACAAAATAGGATACCTTCAAAAACAGCCACTTGGCCACGAGCAAGTACTGCAAAGGCTCGATCTAAAAATAACTCTCAAAATTCTAAAACAGATAAACTAATCAAAAGTAACCAAAAAAGTATGGATACTATTTCAACAACAAAGCCTAAGACACCTGTGAGTCAACGTCGTTCTACTGATAATACATCACTGTTAATTAGCCCACAAAAGGAACGTAGCTTTGGTTTTGGTTTTAAAGCAAGTCAAGAGAAAGAAAGGACACAGTTAAGCAGTCCTCAAAAGGAACACAGTTTTGGTTTTAAGGCAACTCAAGAGAAAGAAGGAAAGTTCAAAAGTCCAGCAGTGCAATATTCATCTTCTGGGGCTCGGCCCAAAATACCTTCAAGTCCTAGAAATTACGGAAGGAAATTGGCTGGTTTGAAATCTCCCAATAGAGTTAATGAGCAGCCGATGGAGGTGGAGGTGAGCAGCCAAGCTGTTTGTGAGAAAACATCTTACGACATGTCTGAGGACATCATGCAGTCTCCATGGAGAGATGAAACTGAGCCTGAAATGCAGCTGTCTCGAGAGAGTTCTGTTTACAGCAGTGTGAGTGAACAGTCCTCACAGGAGTTACCACTCAGACATGTGTCTCCTCAACGTCAATTGTGCTCTCCTGGACAATCGGCTTCATCACTTGACAGTAGTGAAACCCCGGCAAAAATCAAGAAAAGCGGTTCATGGAGGAGATATACGACAGACAGTGAGGTGTCAGTAACTGAAAATATAACTGCATGGAGGAAAATTAATCAAGAAACTGAACAAAAATCAGTACACGGTGTGTCTGAGGTATGTGAGTCGAGTAATGCAAGTTCTCCTGGATCAACACCTGGTTCTCCAAATCGAAGACTTGGTGCACGTCCCAAGGTGAGATGCGGCATTCCTCGGCCAATTAAGTCACCAAGTCCTACCCTGGCAAATAAAATGTACACTTCTCCTGCAGAATCTAATATTCCGACTAAAACATTTCTTAGAAACTGATATAAGTTATAGGTCATTGATTCGTGTCTCCCATTTGGAGAGTTTTTAATCTTTATCTAATGCAATTTATACTCTAGTTTAGGAAAATAAATCTGTCTTGTGTTAAGGATTTTGGAATGTGTTCAAACCATGAAAATCCTGTACAATTTTTTCCTCCATGCAAATCCAAATGTAAAAAACAGCCTGGGTAACGTTTAATGGGTATTTATAATTACAGTCAACTTTTAATTTGTTGGCTGTATTTAAAAGGCAAGAATGCTAAAAAAAAATGAACCATATCATAGATAATAAAATAAATATGAAATAGACATCTAATATATGTAAATAAATTTACAGGAGTTTAATGCTTCTTACAGAAAACAAGTTGTGCAATAAAATATGATAAATTATTAATTTTAATTAGGCTATGTCTCATTAAAGTACGATACTTAATTAGTAGGCCACTTTGCACTAAAACTGATAATCATCATTAATATACTTGTCACAGTGGCTTCAAGTTGTTTTAATGATTACATTTATATTTAATATTATATTTACAAACAACATATTGTTGAAACTACTGTGTTGGTGGGAAAACATCCAATATTGGGGGTTGCCTGAAATACGAAATAATATACAACGTACTTTCCCCATTTTGTTGCATAAAACTACGCTGTAATTGTATATGACCCCCTAGCTAAGTTTAGATTGTAATAGCCTGGAGTCAATTATCGAAGATTCTAAACTTCACTTTTCTTTGTTTCTCTATCGTGTTTCTATGAACTGAATATATCCCGTTCTCTTGAAATAAATCTGTGATTATGCAAATTTATAATACTTAATCTGCCTCAAACATTTTTCCAATTATTTCACTTAAAAAAAGTTTGAGGTCAAAGTCACTGTTAAAATTTTTCATGACATGCCTTGACTTATCGTAAAAAATATGCGAAAATGTGTCATGCGAAACTAAAGGGCGTTACAGTAATGTCTTGTGTACTGTATAAGGGAAAATAATTCAACGGATTTAATTTTATCAGATTTGATATTCACTAGACTTTTAACTTGCTGGTTTGTGAATGAAACAATTTGTTTGATTGTTAGCTTTGTGTATTTACTGGGTTTTAATTTAGCGCATTTAACAATTAGTGAAGCAAAAACAATGCCTAGCCTTGCACAGTATCAGTTTGGCAGCAAGTTTTATAGTAACAGACTGGTGTAGTATTAATTTCAGGTAATTCCACATTGAAATTGTACATGGTCAGTAATGTAGGTCAGGTGTTGCCTACTAGTCAGAGATCAAGCCGCTGTTGGGTAGAAGAGAGATTTTTTAATTGTGTTTATTCACACAATGGCCAGTATAATAAAAATTAGAAATTAGCACCCTCACTGAGACATATTTGTGGTGTAATAAAAGGGAAATACTTTATATTATAAATATCTATAATATTTGTACATGTATAATAATTATACTTGGATTTCAAGTTATCACTTTTGTACCTTTGAATGCCAAATCACAGTCCTTTGACAAATTAAACCTGCATCAAATTTTTCAATATTTTCTAAAAATTGTAACCGTGAAATTGTATTCAATAGGTCAAAAGCTGAAAAAGAAATAACATAAAAATGTGTCATCAAATCTTAGCAGGAAGTAATAAATGGCATTCAGAGATGGCAGTACTCAATCCCATCATGCATCTCACTTGTACCCAACAACTATTCTAAAATACAAAAGAATATTGCATGTTACTGAGCAGGGAGTTAATCCTACAATAGGACTTCACTTATTAAATTTGATAGCCCAGAGATCTAATATAATCTATTCAGTGTGTTTCCTTTAGACATGAGATGACATCATTTTACTATGGCAAAAGCCTACTGCAACATACTTTTATATTTATTTTGCTGGGATAGGGTGATACAGTCAAAATAAAATACAACAAATATACTTTACATTCAACTCGGTGAAAATAAATTTCATACAAAAAAGCCAAAATGTATATTCAATGAAAATTAATTCCTGCTAAAAATAGAGAATTTGACAGTATTTCTGATATACTGATTTGTTTGTAATACAATACTTTGTGCAATATAATGCATATATCTCTAACTACTACGGTAGTTGGTGAAATTAGCAAA